TATATATATATGGCATTATCTCCTGCTATAATACAATTTTAAAAGACCTTTGCAAAATTATTATTTATATATATTATTTTATAAAATAAACGAAAATATATTTATATTATTATATTACTAATATTATATAATATATTCTGCTCTCCTGCCACTGACTAGAAAGTATCACATTTTTAATTTTAAACAGGAAATATTAGCACTAGCAGAAAATAAAATAATAAATTAACATTTGATTGGGTCTTTTAACATAAACACCCAATTGACACGAAGACAGTTGAAGCTAAATACTTTGTTAAATTTCCTACCAGTATTTCAACGACTGTCACATTTTTGTATCATTCTCTCTTCTTGGTTCACACAGGAAGATGGAAGATGTGAGCACTCAGAACAGGGATCTGCTTCAGGTTGTGGCTAAGCGTGAAGAGACCATCCACAACACTCAGCTGCGTCTGGAGGAGAGGAGCAGAGAGTGTGACTCCCTCCACAGACTGCTGGAGCAGGCCAGGGAGGAGGCGCAGAGACAGGTCACAGTCCACAGCAATTTCATTTTGATGCTACAGATGTTGCACCTGTGTGAGGTTAGTGTATACATGCTTTTCAAGTTGAGTCTTTGTTCACAGGTGGACCAGAGCCTGGAGCGGGTGCTGTCCAAAGAACGCTCAGCTCAGTCTAAAATGCTGGATTTGGAGAGCCAGCTGAGTCTGGCTAAAAAGGAGCTGGGTCAGCTGCGCCTCAGCAAAGAGGATGTAAGTGTTCACCGGCAGACTTTGAGCCCTGAAACTTTCCATTGCACAATACTAAACAAGCTCCACGACAACACCACATTTGGAAAATATTACAGAAATCATTAAAGCGTTATACTGTAAAATTCTCTGCAAAATGCAAAGCATTGAAATATAAATTTCCCTCTCATATAATTTTTTTTCATCACCATGTCCCTTTAGAGCAGGGGTGTCAAACGCAATTCCTGGAGAGCCCTGCAGAGTTTTGTTCCAACCCTGCTCCAACACATACCATGTAGATTTCAAATAAGCCTGAAGGACTTGATTAGTTGGATCAGGTGTGTTTAATTAGGGTTGAATCTAAACTCTGCAGGGCTCCGGCCCTCCAGGAATTGAGTTTGACACCCCTGCTTTAGAGGCTCAGTAGAAACATACTGATAATGGAAGTCTATGAAGCAAGTTTTTAGAGTTGCTTCGTAGATTTCAAATAAGCCTGAAGGACTTGATTAGTTGGATCAGGTGTGTTTAATTAGGGTTGAATCTAAACTCTGCAGGGCTCCGGCCCTCCAGGAATTGAGTTTGACACCCCTGCTTTAGAGGCTCAGTAGAAACATACTGATAATGGAAGTCTATGAAGCAAGTTTTTAGAGTTGCTTCTAGGCTTCTCTTTTAAGTGCGTAACTGTTTTGTCTTCACTTACTTTTTTTGTTAATCATATTTCCCCCCTGGAAAATTTAGTTACTGTTATTTCTCTAAAATATTTAAGCAGCTAGATATCTCTTTGTAGAGTAAAACAAGCAAAAGCCACTGTGATAACATTGCTTTTATTCAACCCCATCAATCTCTGCAAAATTCTAAAAATCATTATCCAGTAAACATGAACCACTGGAAAGGTAATTGAAGTCAAAAACTGAGACGAGTCAATGTTTGTGGGAATCAGCAACATGCCACTGATGCTTCGCTTGTTTACATTTTCCTTACATGTCAAATATTCATAATTGCGCTTACATTAAGACCTTCTAGAAACAGTTTGGGTTTCATTTTTCAGATGGAGAAGCGATTTCAGTGCAAACTTCAAGACATGAAGAACCAGTTGGAACAAGTGAACAGTGCCAACCGCAGCCTGCAGAACTACGTCCACTACCTTAAGGCTTCATACACCAATGTGTTTGGAGACACTGCTTTAACAAGCTCACTGAATCCCCATATCTAAACATTGACCATGAATGAGCCATTTCTTTATTTAATGCAGTTATTCTTACACTTTTAATATACATTAATGACCTCAATGATTTCTTCTAATGGTCTTTTAAATAAAGATAGATGTACATTAGAGATTTTGTTTTGCACTTTTATTAAATCACAATGAATTAAACTGTCACAATATTCTTCAAAAGAACATACAAAAAACACTTAAACATGATATAACCATCCACTATGACTAATCTGGGATTAATCACTGTCACTTTCCCCCTCACTGTCTGCTTCATTAACCTCCATGCTGAACTTGTATTCCTGGTCGCAGCCCATGTAGGCATCGCTCATGAAGTACAGTGTGTAGTTGTGCACACCAACAACAGGTGCCACAAAGTCAAGTTTCACCTGAGGGAAGAAAACAGACTCCATATCATTAACAGTTCTCACAAGACTTTTTTTTTTTTTTTTAATACTACAATTAGAGGGTTGTAAAAGACAGGAGTAATGCACTACTGCCTTGGACAAAAAAGCAGGACTGACCTTGGCTTTCTGTTGAAGAGTTAACCTCTTGATAGAGATGAGACTGTTCGATTTGGGGTCTCCAATAACAACCCACCAGCCTTCTTCACGTTTCTGCACAAAACAAACACAATGTCATGAAGTAATGCTGCATTTCTATAAAATAAACATCATTTTGAAACATTTTATCTTCTTGCAAGCTTGGGGTCAGTAACTTTTCAAGAAATTAACTTATTCAGCAAAGATGCGTTAAATTGATCAAAAGTCATAAAGACTTTTTGTTAAAGATTGTTTTTTACTTCTATTTCAAATAAATGCTGTTCTTTTGAACTTTCTATTCATCAAAGAATCCTGAAAAAATTAATCAGTTTCCACAAAAAAATTATAATGTTAATATTAATAATGAGAAATGTGTCTCGAGCTGTAAATCAGCATATTAGAATGATTTCTGAAGACTGGAGTATTGGCTGTTGAAAATTCATACATTACATTTTAAACTTTATTTAAACAGAAATCATTTAACTGCAGTTATATTTCAAGATACAGAGTTTTTGTTTTTACTGTATTTTTGATGGAAGTAAATGCAGCCTGGGTGAGCAAGACACTTTATTTAAAAACATAACCGATTCAAAACTTTTGAACATTATTGTAAACATAGGGTTTGTCTATGAAACTCACCTGAGGGAACAGAGGAGCAATGACAGGACCTGTAACTTCCTCTTCTCGCTCCAACTGCACTTGGACGACCACTGGACTTCCACTGTAAGCACAAAAAGGTAATTTATATCTTCAGTGATTAATGCTAAAAATTATTAAATGTACACCGACACAAGGTTACGCATTTTGAGTTCAGTTCGTACCTTTTGATGTTGTCTTTGTCAGCCACTTCGTATGACAGCTCAATGTTGGGATAGCGGTTACAGAAGCGTGCCACATCCGCCATTTGTACATCAGTAAGCTGAAGAAGACCAGTGCGATCCTCGTCTTCCATCTCCATGATGTCGAAGATGCTCTCCACACCCTATACACGTTCAACAAAACAGATATGAGACACACAACCAAAAGATGAAGTTCAGCGTTTAGATGATTCCCAACCCGCTCAGACCCAGTTCTCACCTTGTCCATGCAGCGCTTGATGTGTTCAGAAGTGAAGTGGGGTAGTTGTTTGAGGTACGAGTCTTTGGACCACATGGCTTGCGTGACCATCTGAGCCAGCTCCATGGCAGCCAGCGCTGGACTCAACCAGCCATTACTGGAGAGCACGTCCACACAGGCCTGGATCAGCCGCACAGCCTGAAAACACGGGCAAGGGAACAGCAGAAAGACTTAGGAAACATTTCATTTAAACATGTACATTTATTATTATTATAAAAAAAAAATAAAAAAAAATATACTGTTATGTATTCATTTGGTGAAAATGTTTCATTTATACACTACTGGTCACAATTTTACACTTTCCCCCCCCCCCTTTTTTTTCGTGCTCACAAAGGCTGCATTTATTTGATCAAAAATACAGTAAAAACAGTAATATTGTTTCTTGAGCACTAATCAGCATATTACAATGATTTCTGAAGTATCATGTGACAAGACTGGACTAAAAGCTTTGCCATCAGGAATAAATTACATTAAAAAGGTCTAATGGAAGTTATTTTGAACTGTAAGAATATTTCACAATATTTTGATCAAATATATGCAGAATTGGAGAGCATACGAGACTTATTTCAACAACATTTGGAAATATATTAAACTAAAAACTAAAACCTATACATTCAAAAATTTTAAACGCATACGAAAATGCATTTAATTATGAATAGAAATTTGAATGGACTGTGGCCACTAAAAATCCTTTTTGTTGAGCTGCAAAAGAGGTTCACTATGTGGCTCAGTGTTTCCCCTCACTTTGCTGAGGATCTCCTCAGTATCTGACTGGAGCTCAGCGCTCAGCTGCATGCGGGACAGATGAGCCTGGAGCAGCAGGTTGGTCTTCACATGAGGGTCGTTGAACTTAGGGTTGTTCAGTTTGTGAGGAACTTTCTGAGCCAGCTGATAAAGTAAAAAACAAAAATGTAAACAGAGAGCTCTGATGCAGTCTGTTCAAAAGTTCATATTATACTCCGTCATAAAAGGAAAGTGCGTTTTTACTCACCTGCCGTAGCAGGGTGTCTTCATGGTGCCTGATGGGAATGTTTTTATACTCCGCAGCATTGGAGATGATCTCGATGAGGCCACGGACCTTTGTCTTGGCGTTTAGGGACATACTGAACAGCTCTGGAGAGAGGACAAACAGATAACAGTTGCATCAGATGAGATGGATGTGGCAAGACAATCAAGAAGCTTAGTGATTGTTTAAAGTCGGTACGAAATCCCAACCCTACATTCTTTTTCAATAATCCATTACACTTGGATGTAAGTCACAATACAGGAGAGAAGATCTGTCGCTACTTGTTTCATTGTGACTTTAATGAAGTGTGTTAAACAGAGAGAGTCCTCACCAATGGTGGTGTAGTTTATGTAGTAATAGGCTGCAATCATGCCCAGATTCAGAGGTGCCACATCCATCTCATCCTCGATGCTGATGCACTTGGACTGCTCCAGATCTTGCAAGGTGTTTTCCACCAGCTCAGACAGATGATCTGACAGGTGACGATGAGACATACCTGTAAAACAAAGATATTTTAGTCTCTGATGCACTAAAAAAAAAAAAGTTACAATTACATTGTTGCTTGACTTATTTTCACATGCATTCCTGTTGCAACAAACTCTACATTTTGTAGCATAAAGTCTAGATTTTGAATTTCAAGTCCATTTGTCCTGCTGTAGTGAAAATTGTGGGCATTTGAAGGATTGTGGTTCTTCACCCTGCAGGTTGTAGTAGTTGGGGTTCTGGGTCATGCGGCGATACAGAAACGTCCAGGTCATGTAGTCTACAGCGTCCTGTTTGTTCTCCACCGTCTTGGTGACGATCTCAGCATTGAAATGGTCGTGAAGACAGTGGTCCAGGTGAGACTCCACAGGCAGAGGCTCGTAGAGGAACTTCTTGAAGAAGTCCTAAAGAACAAGGTGGTTCAAAATTATTAAGAGGTAACCAAAAATGGTGATCTTAAGACAAGAAAATATGTGGATTAATTTAAGCTTTACCTTTTTGGACCCTTGACACATGATAACACACCGGCCCTCATCATCCTGGAGAGGACGGTTAGCCTTTCCTACCATCTGGAGCACATCATAGATTGGATAGTCCACATATCTAATTGGAGAAAGACATTTATGAGCAATACACATGCACAGAGTAAATACTGGTGATGGCATCAATCATTTGAGCCCTCTAAGGATGAGAAAACACTTACGCATGGATTTTCCCGTTGTAGTACTGCGTGTCCATGACAATCACCAGGTGGGCAGAAATGTTGGTGCCCCAGCAGAGAGAACGAGACGCCACCATCACCTGAATGGCACCTGGCATGAGAGAGCAGGGGGCAGAAGGGGGCAACGCTTCTTTTAGCTCAATTAACCTCATAATTCATTCAAAAACTACATATGATATTTGCATTCCTGTGTCCATTTGAACCCGGTGGAATGTAAGCTTAGAAACAGTCATAACCATATTTTACGTGATTAATAACTTATTAATTAATGAGTGAATTTCAAATTTTGATAGTGTTTGTGTTATTACCATGTTATTACTACATCTACCCTTTGTTTAAAAAGATGAATAGATGAACTACAGCAAAACCAGTGTGATGTAAGAAAAAATATTTTTATCAATATTTATTGGAAATTTTATTTCAATATATTATTCATGTCATTATATGAAATTAAGAACAATTAATCTGAGAATTACCTAAATTAACTCCATTGATTTCAATTTCTTTGAACTTGTAACACATGACTGCTCAAAAACAGCCCAAATTTATGAAACCTATATATTCATTTTCTAACATCACATCAATATTACTCTGGAAGGGTTTCAAACAGATTATACTAATTTTACAAAACATTAGGTTTCATGTGTCTTACCAGAATTGAAGAGATGCTCCACAATCCTGCGCTCTGTAGGTGAAAGGCCCTCATGAAGGTACCCCACCCCATTAGAGAGGGTCTCCTTCAGTGTAACATCAGAGAGATTCTCCATGAATGGAGCTAGGTCCTTCTCAGTTGAGTGCAGGAACCTACAGGGATATAAATGAGGATAGAGGTCAGATGCCTGATGTCACTCAGGAAAGAAGCTGATCAAATAAGAGTCTATATTAGTGTAGAGATGTGAAATAGATCTTCTCCCAGAACCTTTGTGGGACCACGTCTGCAGCACAGAAGGTGAGGATATCAATAGCGGTGAGACGAGTCTGACGTCTTGATGGCACAAACACCAGCACTGGCTTGGATGGGGAATGTTTCATTATGGCGTGATACACTGGTTTAGCCATAGACAGCAGACGAGTCTGTGTGTGACTCACGTTGAAGCCCTAAGGAGGGGGAAAAAGCAGTGAGGAACACTGAACAAAACTTCACCAAATGTAACAGGGTCAAGATTGTGCCTAAACATAAAATTAAGCTACAGAGATTCAGACCAACCTGGATGTGAAGTTCAAGAGGAACCGGCCTGACATTAGGGTGGAAGTTGAAGGTGGCCGTAGTGCTGCAGCCAAGCCAGTGGGCCACATCTTTAGCATTGGACAGAGAGGAGCTGAGGGCCACGATACGGATGGGCCGCTCAATCTGAGAGGAGATGTACCTCATTCTGGAGCAAATCACCTCCAGCACAGGCTACAAGAGACAGAAAATTAAAAATAAACCAAAACAAATGATCTCTGGTGACTTAACAGCTCATTATTATAGTTTAAAAACCAGAATAAACAAACACTTACTCCATTGTCACCTCCAATGAGATGAATCTCGTCTACAAGGAAGAGACTAACGTTCTGCACATTCTTCCTCTGTTTCCAGCGGCGGGATAGGATGTCCCACTTGTCTGGGGTGCTGACGATGATGTCACCTTTACCCAGCAGCTTGAGGTCAGTGCTAGTCTCACCGGTGAGCAGGACAACCTTCTTATTCAAAGTCTCCTGGAACTTCTGGTGCCAGTCAATAAAGACCTGCACAAAAAAATGATGTCGCAATCATTCAATTTAATTCCTCATTTCACTGAATTTCTTGAATTTTATAGAAACTTTACATTATGACATTTATTTCCAGAAAGGCAGATATTTATGAACATACCTGTTCGGCCAGAGCCTCCATGGGTGTGATGTAGACACAGCGGCCCTCTGAGTTGTGTAGGAGCATCCTAAGAATGGCAAACTCAGCACATATGGTCTTCCCGCTGCCAGTGGGGGCGCCAACAAATACGTTATCATCGCTGTTGTACACGGCATTGAACACTGAGGAAAATAAGAATAGTTTCATTTAAAAGGTAGTTTCAAGATCTCAGTCAAATATATAGTGTGTTGTGGATGGTCTTTAAAGGCAGGTACCTTGGGTCTGGATTGGGTTAAAAAAGGGAAACTTCTGGTAGAGGCTCTCGAAGGCTGTGTTTCTTAGAGCAGACACGGGCAATGGCTGCAGGTCCAGCAGCTCGGTGGGGGGAGGATATTTCTCAGGCAGGATCAGGTGACGGAAAGAAACGGGCAGCTGTGTCTCACATGCTTGAAAAAGAGAGAAAAAACATCTTCAGACTTCTTTAATACCTCCAATGCTTTATTATCCTTACAAACAGTACTATGGATTTTGGTCACGTCAATGCCATAATGAATTAGCATTTTAAATTTTCAATATGGTTTAGTAATTTGTTCTGCAGTATTAAGTTGTAAACTTACACAGCCAACGGTCTGAAGCTATGCGAATGAAGTACTGTGGTGGCAGCGGCTCAAACACGGGCACAAAGAAAGTGACAAGATGCTCATCCTGAGCGTACTTGGCCTTCAGGAGGAAGTACTCATGATGAAGAACGACCTCACTGTCCACATCCTCCACTAAGATCCAGAAGGCCTCAGATGAGCCATGTATCTGAAAGCAAAAGACATTTAGTTGCTAGCTCAATGTCAAAATGCTTAAATGAAAAAAATTGCTATGTTGTTTTATAAAATATACATATATAAAAAGTTAAATAAGTTAAATATTCTATTAATTTATATGTAATTATTTATTCTTGTAAAAATAAAACTCATATTATCATTAATAGTCATTTACTGATCTATTTTAAGACTGACCTTGTCGTCCCACTGAAAATCTGGTGTGATGGTGAGCTCCACTTTCAGAGTGGAGATGAAAAAAATTGCTATGTTGTTGTATAAAATATACATATATAAAAAGTTAAATATTCTATTAATTTATATGTAATTATTTATTCTTGTAAAAATAAAACTCATATTATCATTAATAGTCATTTACTGATCTATTTTAAGACTGACCTTGTCGTCCCACTGAAAATCTGGTGTGATGGTGAGCTCCACTTTCAGAGTGGAGCGTGTGATGGGCTGCAGATGAACTGCCAGGTCCAGCTTTGGGAACTGATGGACATACTTATGAATGGTCTTCCCCATCTTTGGCATGCGGATCAACTCACCTGAAAGGTTTAAACTCAGATCATGAGACAATTACATAAAATTGCACTTTTAGAGACACTGGCACATAAATACAATACTTGACTAGCACAATGTACTGATAACCACTATTCACCAATTTCGTTGTGGTTCAGATCATAGAGGCGCTCAAAGGGAAAGTTCTTCTTCTCAATCTTTTTGATGACCTCCTCTGGAAGCTTACGGAACTGGCGCAAGGGAGACATCGACTGCCACCTTGAAGGAAAAAAACCAACAGCGTGAGCATCACATTGGATAATAAACAATACATTTAAGTGGCAAAATCAGCAGCATCTTGACCGCTTACATCCTTTTGTCGATCATCTTGCAAAGGTTCAAAGTCTTATCGGTAAGTTGGGCCCAGCCTCTGCTCAGGACAATCTCAAAAATGGCCCTCATCAGCCTGCCAGCACTCTGTAGAATCAAACAGAACATTAATACAGAAAATCTATGCATATTCTCTGATTGTGAAGAGATTCAATTAATGGTTGTTCAATTAGGCCTTTACACAAGACAGGATAATGTCACTAACCTGTGTCACATAGACCATGTCAGCCATGAGAGCAAAGCCCTCCAGTTTGAGCTGAGAAATATATGCCTGCAGCAGCACATTAATCTGAGAAACAGATGTAACATTCAATTTAAGAGAAACAATCATAAGACTGCATATCTGTATTTGACGTTATATCTTAAAATGCATTTACCTTTGCACTGGGCTCTTCAATGCTTTCCTTCACTGGAATAGGGACTCTCTCAAGCAGTTTCTGAAGCTCAAGTTTTTCTTCCTGTCAATCAGAACATCACAACCATGTTGATTAGATCCTGGTGGTAGAGGTTTGTTCAAATGTTTTAGCTGCTTTAACTAGATAAGGCACGTACCTCTCTGACGGTGATGTTTCTGAACTCAGAGGAGAGCGAGAACACCCTGAAGAGCTCAATCTCACTCAGTGTAGGCTTCAGCAGCTGGTTGTAAGTCATTATGGACTCGTGGGTGATGTAGAAATGACTGGCAATGCGGCCCAGGTCTGTCACCTACAACAGAACAAATTAAACATCATTTAAACCACATCTGTTGCTGTCATTTAAAAGTTAATTGATGTGTTCAGAAAGCCCTGCTGAAATCCATTATGCTGGGTTGGGTATTTCAAGCTGGTACAACCTCAGAATTGATCGTGCATAAAGTGGGTTAATATGACAAACTGCGTGTACCTGAAAGTTGCCAGATCTCTTGTCATATTTGACCAAGTTGTTCTTCTCCAAGACAGTGGCTGCCGTGTGCACCAGGTCCATCCTGCGTCGCTCCAGCAGGGGGTCAATGCTGCGGTCGTCATGGGAGACGGCATATAGAGTGGGGTTCCGCAACATCCGAACATAAAGGTATGTGTAACCCAGCCAATTTACAGCATCCTGAAAAGAGTAACAAAACAGAGCAACAGATGCTTTCAGAGGAATACTAATAATAGGTATGTGCAATACTACATATTTTCAATGTAATACATTTTTTTTCAATATGCTTAAATGACAATATAAAAACTACTTTTTCAATTTTGGAAACAAATGTGTAAAACTAAATGTATATAAAATTATAATATTAAAGCTTTTTAAATTTTGAAAAAAAAAATTAATTGTCTTAATCACATTTAATATTCATTTCACAATATAATAAGGGTCTATATATTTCTAAATATTTTTATTTTGTCCCTCACATCATTTAGTTTTATAACCTAAATTAATAAAAACTTGTGAAAGTTCTTAAAGGTTCACCAATAAAAATATTAATGCTAGAAAACAAAAAATGGCTGACTAATGAACATTTGCATGTACATTTAAACCTCACCTTGGCATTCTGCACATTGCCCAACACTATCTCTGCATTGAGCATGTCGGGTAGTTTGGCCACCATCTGGCTCTCGATGGGTAGCTGCTGATTGAGCAAGGACAGGTAATACTGCAGCTCTCCATGTGAAGTGATCAAAATACCCTCTCCCTTAGAGTCATACTGCGGCCTGCCAGCACGACCCAGCATCTGCGTCACAAAGGTTGAGTGGGAGTCAAGACATTACTTGTCGTCTATTTAACTCATTGCAATACAAAGTATGTGTAGAAATACTACTGACCTGTAGGATATCCAGGGCTCCCAGCTCTGTCCATCTGCCTTTCTCTGGGCTGTACACCTGTGTGCCTTTGATGATGACAGTGTGCGCTGGCAAGTTCACACCCCAGGCCAGAGTGGCTGTCGACACCAATACCTACGAAACACACATTCACGGTTCAATGCTCTCTGTTTCAAAATAAGAAACAATCAAAAACGTTCTTGACATTGATGAATTTCAAACTAACCTGAATGTGACGGTCAGCAAACAGATCTTCTACCAACGTTCTGTCCACTCTGCTCATTCCAGCATGGTGAATAGCAAAACTATACGGCAATAGATCTTTCAGCTCCAGGTTCTGTCAACAGAAAGTAAACAAATGGTCATCAAAATCAGTACACAATAAATGCGTGTTCAGTTACAACCAGACCATGAATCTGGGGACTTTTTATTGTACTAATCTCAGAAGAAGAAAAAAAAAATCTACAAAATAATTTTTTTTCTGCACTACTAGCTACTGGACATAAAATCAGCTCAAACAATGGTGTGAGTTTGGGGTAGGATTAAATGTTTACCAAACAACAGCAGACAAGGGAAATGTCTGAAACTAGTTTGAAAATTGTCATTATTTCTGTAAATAATTTATAAATTATTGAATATAATCATTTAAAAAGTAAATAAACATCACTACAACTTATATTACAAATTATGATTTATTTTTGCAATTATAATTAATTAAAACTATAATAGTTTGTCATATTCTGTTTGCAAGACAATACACTTGCCTTTGGCAAAATGTGCTAAATGAAGGTGAGAGTACTACACTCTTAAAACATAAGCCAAACATGAATATTTCTTTGTGAAAGATTCTATGTCGGTCTTATTTCGAGTGTACATCAGTTTGAGGTCGTATGTGATGTACAGCACTTTTGTGGTAGTTGTGAGCTGACCTTGCACTGCTCTGCTTCAGTCCTCAGGACCTCAGTGGAGGCCGAACCCTCTCTTAGGAACAACCCCAGTGTGTCCTTCTCCAAACACATGTCCCTGATCGCACGTGCCGTCTTTCCGGTCTCCTTTCTCGAGTGCACAAACACCAACACCTAGGAAAAAAAGAATGAAATGTTCAGGAAACAGAAGGGTGACTGAACAAATGTTAGGATATATTTGATTACAAAGAACCAGTCAGGTTATTGTGTTCCGTTTCACCTGATTCTTTCCAGCATGTTCCATGATCTTCTCATAGACGATCTCATTCATAATCTGGAAACGTTTGATAGCCTTCTTTTCTGTAATTCCTACATAGGTTTGTTCCAGAGGCACAGGCCGGAAACTAATAAGAGAAAAACGTCCAAAATACATATTTTATTATACCAAAAACCTATTCAATGTTATCCACATACTGCTGCAGAAGACTATTTCTCCACATCAGTCCATTTCTCACCTGTTGTCGAAATAGAAGAGCCCCTTGGATGGATCCACACGAAGGCAGGTCGCCACATCCTCATAGTTGGGCAGTGTGGCACTGAGGCCAATTAGCCTCACATCTTCCTGTGTCAGTTCCACATTGCGGATGGTTCGAGCAATCAGGGATTCCAGAACAGGGCCACGGTCATCATGCAGCAAGTGGATCTCATCCTGTATGACAGAACACATTGACTTGGAAAAACATGAAAGAAAAACTTTACAAAAGGGAATATGACTCTACTAGATTACTTACGATAATGATAAGGCGCACAAGCTGCGTATATGTGCGATCTCCTCCTTTCCGGGTGATGATGTCCCATTTCTCTGGGGTGCACACAATAATCTGGGTGGCATTTATTTCCTCCTTACACAGCTGATGGTCTCCGGTCAGCTCAGAAACAGTGATGCCATAGCTAGCCAAGCGCTGTAGACAGAGCAACAAATGTTTTATGAATGAATGAGGCATTTTTTAGGGACATGTTTTAGGGACATTAAATACTTTCACGATTTTAAACAAGTATACATTTGAAAATGTTAAATGTAATTCTATTCATAGCTACTCATTTAAAAGATACTAAATTACAGGAAATTATGGGAAAAGCATAATGTAGTCTTACCTTGCCAAAGCTGCCCACCATCTCCTGTACCAGTGAGCGCATGGGAGCGATGTAGATGATTTTAAAATCATCAACATTGATGGTGCCATCCATGTTAATATGCTTTCCGATCTCTCTGAGCATTGCCATGAGAGCAACATTAGTTTTGCCAGCACCCTACAGATCAAAGAGAGAGATGAAAAACAAAAGCTTAAGTCTCCTTATGGTAAAGATCTTAAGGCTAAATGTACAATTCAAGTTAAGGCCTATATTACATCATATTTATGTCACATTGTTCTTAATGGAGACGTTCATTTTAAGCCTGCGCCTGGACGGACAGTTGCGCCTTTATCAGTAGACTAACCGTTGGAGCGCAAACCAGCAGGTTCTCATCCGTCTCCATTGTGGTTTTGAAGAGTTTACTCTGTATGCGATTCAAGGTTTTGAATCCTTCGAATCCAGCTTGGGCATATTTGGGCAGCTTCTCAATAGCCATCAACGTCTGAGAAAAAAAAGGAGGGAATCCTTGTGAGACAATAGTGAAATTACATAGAGCCAATCAACCAGTAATTCATAATACATTGCTATTTACACTACTGTTCAAAAGTTTGGGATCAGTGAAATGATCAGAAGTGACATTATATTATACTGTGTAGGGATTTCATATACAGGACACAGATATGCCACTGAATCACCATCATGAGGCTTCGAATTAATCTAATCAAGAGATACCACAGAGATCTTTTGTATCAGGACTGAAAAGCCCTTTCACGACATATGGATACCTCGTGATCGTGAATGTATAGAACTAGTATATCCAGCAGGAAAAGGATGATGTGGTACTTTAAGCTAACGTAATCCACTGTTTACATCCACACCAACATATAAACATCACACCACATTTATCAGACAATGAATCGTTCTTTATTGCAAACTAAAAAAAGATAATGTTTTTGTGAATTCACAAAGCCATAACATGTTTAAACAATGATAACCAGTGATAACATATTACACTCAATGGTTCTGTTTACACACAGAAAGAAAGTATAAATAAAAAATAAAAAATAAATAAAGTTCAAAAGTTTGGGGTTGGTAAGGTTTTCTAATGTTTTTTAAAATAAGTCTCTTACACTCATCAATAGTCATCTATTTGAGCAAAAATACAGTAAAAAAACACATATTATTACAATTTAAAATAATTTCATTTGCTTTCATTAAAAAGTAATTTATTTATTCATGTGATGGCAAAGCTGAATTTTCAGCAGCCATTACTCCAGTCCTCAGTGTCACAAGATCCTTCAGAAATCATTCTAATATGCTGATTTGTGATTAAAAAAAAAAAACATTCCTTATTATTATCAATGTTGAAAACAGCTATGCTGATTAATATTTTGCAGAAACTGACACGGTTTAAGGGTTATTTGATGAATAGAAAATTCAAAAGAACAGCATTTATTTGAAACAAATCTTTTGTAACATTATAAATAGTTTTAATTTGTCCTTAAAGGCAGGGTGTGTGATTTTTCAAAAACACTTTTGAAATAAATAACACTATAACACTGTAAAAAAAAAAAATATATATATATATATATAACACTTAAACATAATCTTAGCAAATCTAGCAAGAGAATATCAATTTATATCATAATGAGTTATTGTAATGAAATTGTTAGTTTTTGGTGCATAATTTAAATTTATTTTTATATTTATTTTTTAGACAAAACAGTATAGAATTTATGTTGGCCAAATATTTTTGCATATGAAAATGGTGCATCCCTAGTAAATCCCACAGTAGTTACATTCAAAAATTATATTCATATCACATGTAAACAGGGGCGGTGATTTTACCTGATCTCCAAGGGCTGCCTGAATGAAGCTGAGGAGGATTTCATAAGTTTCTCTGGTTTCTTTGGTCTTGGGCTTGTACACAATGCCCACCATCTCATCAATCCCCTCAGACAGCAGTGTGAAGCCCTTCATCTTGTTTATGTCGTGTCTGTCTTCGTCTCTCTTTCTTCTCCTGTATCATACAAGGAAATAAAACTTGTTTAAACGATTCAAAGACCATGACACAATGAATGAATGCACGCAAGTAAACGCTATGCGTTTCTGATCAGACTCACTTTGCTCTCCTCTCCTCCAGCATCTGCGGTTTGGTTCTCTGACTCCTGTCTCCCATCTTTGTCCCCTCCAGTTTGCCGACCAGAGACAGCACCTCTCCGGTGGGCTCATCTCTGCGGGTGCGGTCGATCAGAGATCTGTCCGCTTGCAACACCAAGTTGGAGTTCTGGGAAGAAAAACACAAACCCTTATGATCGGTTCAACGGCTGCGTTTCAAATCCTAGCGAGCAGCCTACCTAGACTGCATTTGTAAACATTACAAGCACGAACGTGCTTCATGCGCTTGTAATCTGCTAAAAGACTATTTAATTCAAAACTAAAGGGAATATTTACTGCTACTTTGTTGACCAACAATGCTATCTAGGTAGGCAGCTCAACAGGTTTTTAAAATACAGCAAGTGTGTTCCAGCACGCGCACAATAAAACACACCCGTTTAAGCGCGCTTAGTAAACATATCAAACTCGTTCAAAATATTATTATAGATCTTATAAGACTCTTACCGCTTTATATTCATACTGCAAACTACGTGCAGTAACATCGGCCATGACTTCTTATTACTGTAAACGCGGTCAAAATGAAAATTCTTTATCAACCAGCACAGCAGGTGCTAGCGGAAAAACAAACGGCTAAATACACTACACAGCACTCATGTATGTTCCTAATTATGCAAAAACTAGCTTAGTGTACACGAATTACGTGCACACCACAATAATAACACACTTTGAAAAGTTCACTCTCTTTTCTTTATCCCCGAAACTGCACTATACGTCTGAAACACGCACGACGGTCTCAAAACGCAGTTTGATGTTATTTCCGCTTCCGGGTTCGCTCGCTCCTGAATATAGTGCGTGGAAAAGTCTGCCTCTTCTGGATAGGAATGGCATTTCTTTTGAGACAGAAGGATTTTTTAACAGATTTTATTGAAGAGGCAATATTATAAGCCTGTCTGTGGTACTTAAAAACGCGAAGGCACAATATCCACAGAATCCACCCTTTCAACTGACCAGAGCTGTCAAATTTGCATTAAATAATGGAAAATAAGAAGAATTTATATTTTTATAAATGATAAATGCTACAGAAATAGTTCTGAAAACATTCAATTTGTGTTGAATAAACGTAACCTATTGTCTTAAGCATATCAAAGGGCATATACGATACTGCAAGTTTTCATTCATTGAAATGATGACATTTGTTCAGCAATCTCATACAAGAGGAATACAGGGTTAGGGTTAACCCTAATCTACAGTCACAGCCATTATTTGGCTTCTAGTCATTTCCTATTTCAACATTTATGAGGAAAAGACAGCAGTGCATGTCCACAGATCGAATATTCTTGTAATAATTTATGTCTTGTCAAATGTAATAAACCTTTTTTGTTTGGTAGGACTTTAAAGGAACCATTTGTGCATCTATGAAAGATTTATGGAATCATTTTCAGCAATCTCCATAATATGGGATATTATTATTTTTCTCAAAATACTTTTCTTAAATACACTTGCTTTAATAAACATGGAATTTCAATACTGCATTGAAAACAGGTTTCTCACAGTTTTAGTAAAAAAAAAGCATAATTTATAATGTTTTGTACAAACTGTGGTTTATTTACAGGTTGAAATAAACATGCAAATGTCAGCGGAAACATTTTTTTTTTCACGTCATGCAAGTATACATTTATATACTTTTTAAAAATAAATTAAATACTGCCTTACAGCTTAGAGTATACATTTTCATTGTCAAAAGTTGAAACTGAATTTTAGTCTAGACTAACAATATTTTTCTTTAAAAAAAATATGTGAGGCCCCAAGGAAAACTAAATAAACATTTTTATACTACATATCTCACACATTTTACGGCTAAAAGATAATTTCCTAACACTATTAAGCACTTTAAACATGTACAAAAATCACAGAGTAAGAGTGTGATGTGCAAACATACACAGTCTTTGATTTGCTATGTACAGTACATATGATGGGACAGGATGAAGGGCATTCCATAGTTGAGGCCCGTTTTTGCACAAAAGTGTTAATATTTACAAGGAGTAAATTGTTTAACATAAAACATTAGGTCAGAGGCAATATAACATAATAGAAGAGTGCCATTATAGCAGCACTGATGAGGCCAGAAATTGGCACGGTCACAAACCATGCAATAAAAATATTCCGGAACAGATGCCAATCAACGGCCTTCCTGGAGCGGAGCCAGCCAACTGACACCACTGATCCAACCTGTTCATAAACACACAAACAAAAAGATAATAGAATTGGACATTTGTTATTACAAATTCTAACTGTATGGATTTAATCTACTAGTAAGTAATCCACCTTGCAATGAGTGGTGCTGACTGGGAGTCCGATGTTGGAAGCGACAACCACAGTTACAGCAGAGGCGAGCTCAATGCTAAATCCGCTGCGAGACAGACATGATGATTATAATAAGCTCTATAAGCATCCTTAAACACAGCAAAGGACTGTTTGAATGGAAAAAGTACTGTGGCATTTTCAAAATGTCAATACTAAAGACAAGACAAATGTGGTGCTTGAGGGAAATTCCATGAGACAAGGAGTTAAACTGTTTGTTTACACTGCAAAGTCAACAGAGATAAGAAAGTGGGAACTGGGCCCTTAATCCCCAAGAGAACCGCGGTGATAAAACTGAACTATAAAGTCTGATCCCACAAATAAGCACTCTTATCAGTTTCTGCTCAGAGGAGGTACGAAACGTCAGGGTATTAGATGCTTGTTACCTGGAGGGAGTGATGGGAGTCAGGTCTTTGCCCATGGTTTGTATGACCCGCCGACCCCAAATCCAAAGGCCTGTACAGATACCCACTCCACCATACAGGAGCAACCAAATTGGTGTAGGAGCACTGGGTGCTACAGAAGCGCTTTCATAAATCAGCCAGAGTGCAACGAGAGGGCCAATCGCATTACTGTAAGAAAGGAATGATTAGCACTGTCCTCATTATAAAGCAATGTGGAAAAAGGTCAGAAATGCAAGATATACACTACCGAGTAAACTTTAAGGGTTGGTAAGATGTTTTTATGTTTTTTAAATAAGTGTTTATCTTAATATATTTTCAAATGAAATTTATCCTGTGATGGCAAAGCTGAATTTTTTAGCAGCCATTACTCCAGTCTTCAATGTCACATTTCTTCAGAAATCATTCTAAAATGCTAATTTGGTTCTCAAGAGAATTTTTTTATTATTATTAATGTTGAAAACAGTTGTGCTGCTTAATGTTTTTGTGGAAACAGTATTACATTTCCCCCCCAAAAGAACAGCAAATATCTGAAATAGATAGAAATATTTTGTAACATTATAAATGTCTTTATGGTGACTTTTGATTAATTTAATGCATCCTAACTGATTGAAAGTA